GGAGCGTGGCCCTCAGGAGACAGGCAGAGGCAGAAGGTGCCCACATCGTATGAGTAACCACAGCTGGCTCAGAGAAGAGGACAAAATATCCCAGGAGAAGAATACAGAGTCAAAACAGAGCTGAGCAGCATCTCCCTGGGACAGTCGTCTCCCTGGGGCAGCATTATTTCAGGAATGGGCAACAGATAAAGAGTCCGAGAACAGACAGAAAAAGAGCAGTCCGGGAGGCGGGAGGTTACCCACAGGGGTAACAGAGGTGCGGGTAGGAGCGCTGTCCTGAAATCAGTGGGAGGGAAAACAAGGGGAGGGAAGACCAGAATCCATTGTCATCGTTTCCGAAGACAGAGCCTGTGCTGACCAATGGCGTCAGCATACAGACGCTCACTGCTGACTCGGGAGAAAGGTGTGTCCCTCAGGTGAAGGGTCTGAGCGCTGAGCTCCCCGGGCTGAGGGTCCAACAGAAGACAGTTCTGTGGAGGTGGCTGAAGTGTGGATGTCCCTTCACACTCTGGAGGTCAGCATGGTGGCAGATTATCCCAGGACGGTGACTCTGGGGGAGACTTTCTTTTTTGATCTGATGTTTGTATTTGCCAATTTTCTAGGAAGAGCATGCATTGTTTTAATAATCAGAATAAAACAAAGAAATGAGTGAAAAGGAAGCCAATTTTTTTGAAGAATGTGGTGCCGTGGTGTCCCCAGTCTGGAGGAACAGGAAAGTGGGAGGGGCCCGGAGTCGGGTCCCTGTGCCCACTCTGCCCAGCAGTGGCTACAGGACCCCAGGAACATTCAGAACTTCCCTCTGGAATGTGGCCTCCTCACCTGAGGTACAGGAGCTGGGCTGGAAAATCACTAAGGTGCGTCTCAGATGTGGGTTCTAGCTAGGTCTGGGTCCTAGCCTGTGATGTGAGAATAAGCTCTCAAATATATTAGAGAAAACTGATACTTAAGGAAACCCTATAATGAATTGTGTGAAGAACAATTATTTCATAATGCAAATTTTCACTCCAATATATATATGTTTTATCATTTCTGATCTTGTTTATTTGCTTTTCTGAAAGTAAGGAACATCTACATCAATTATAATATGTCCCTTTGCATTCTTTTCACTATACTTTCTGTTTTAAAAATAAGATTCAGCTTCTACCGCAGTCTCTTCTGTGCACGAATCAAGGCAGAGAATAGTGTTTCGTGGGTAGGGCTTGAAGGCTGCAGTTGCCAAGACTAAATATTTACTGCTTCCTTTAGCGTGCCCAAGGACATAAAGTGTTTACTGAGCAATTATCACAGGCACTGAGGAAACACGAGCATCAGGCCACATTTCCTACCCATCCCCTCTTCCGTGTGATGAGGGGTCCGGTGTGGCCACTTCTCGGTTATTTCTGTTTCAGGTGCTTTTAGGTAATGCACAGCAATGTCCATTAGTGGCCCAAGGCCCAGGCAGTGAAAAACATTAGACCAGACCTAAAAAATAATTAGGTGAAAGCCAAGATGTAGTTCACAAATAAAAACCCTAGGACATTCAAGTTCAAAAGTACCTTAAAGGTCACTTGGGACAACGTCCTGCTGGAAGGGGGTGCCCTTCTGCCAGGGGGTACTGCTCCAGTTCTTGGATACCCATAGGGAAATTCCCACAGTTTCTCTAGCAGTGGTCTCCAGCCTCTGGGGCACCAGGGACTGCTTTTGTGGAAGACAATTTTTCCACGGACGGGTGGAGGGGGTATGGTTTTGGGATGATTCAAGTGTGTTACATCCAAGCTCACGTCCTGCTGTGCGGCCCGGTTCCTAACAGGCCACGGACCAGTATAGGATCTCAGCTTGAAGGTTGGGGACTCCTGCGAGGGAAACACCTCGACTTCACGAGACAGGTATTTGCTGACCCTGTAGTTACTGGAAAGTTCTTCTGCCTTCCTGAAACCTGCCCTCCTGACAGCCACCCCTCAGGCCCAGTTCTGTCCTCAGTATGACACCGCCTGAGGTTATGATGTTCCTGCTCATTGCTGGAAGGTCCACGGTGCTGGGGAAATTTTACAGCCGAGTCAGAATGTCACAGCCTACACTGCAAATGTATCCTTCCTTTCTTAACAGTTTTCTCGAAGGATGAAATCTGTTAGTCTGTCACGTCTATAATAAAATTAATCTGAATCCTTCTTAAAAACTTAGCCCAGTACAAAATGTTTTGTTCTGTGTAGCAGCAGGCTCTAAGGCTGGAGGAGAACACAAACGCTTCTTATCCAGCTTCCATTTAACCAACTCGGTGGATCAACTGGTGTTCTCTCGCCCTCTGAAAGCAGGCTGGCGGACGCCCACCGCAGGAGAACTGCTCGGAGTCGGCCGGCCACTCTTGGGCGGTCCGCAGACTTCCGGTCTCCAGTGTTGAACAGTGCATCGACCGAGATGCAGCTACGCTTGCTCCCAAACTTTCTGTGCCAGGGTGTTGACGATTGTGAGTACACAATTAAAGGGTATACAAACCAATAAAATGCAAGTGTGAGTACAAGAGCTGTTTCTGGAACAAGTTAAAGCTTTAGAAAGGCTACAGTTTATTCAGTGAAAGGAATGCTATCAAATAGGCATGAATAAGACAGCTGTAAAGAACTGAGAAAAATCGTAAAACTCTAGAAGGATTCTGCACTCATTTACCTCTGAAAAGGCCTTTAAATTCTTACCCCCTTTATTGCTGGCAGTGTAGATAATGGATGGTAGATATGCTGTACGCAACACAAGCTTGGAAGACCCTTGACAGTGAACTTCTACTCAGAGAAAGACCTTGGTCCTTCCTCAGACTTTGGTGAATGAATGCACCTTTAAATTCTTTAAATTAAATTTTAAATATTTAAAAGCTGTATTATCACTTTTATGATTTTCAGCTTTCATCACCTTTTTCAAAGAAGTGATCAGTTATTGGCTCTGAAGCCAGGGAGAAGGTCCCCACTAGAGTTTATGGCTGATCTGTCTCTCAGGACACTGAAGACTCCATATAACCCAAGTCCGCCAAGAACTATACAAACTGAGATATGGTCCAAGCCAGAAATGCTAGGAACTACAGAAATTAATAAGATTCACCAGTTAATGTTTAGTCAGATTATACTGATAAAAACAAAAAGAGACAAAGTTTTAAGAAGAAGTTTTCAGTGAGCTAGTCCAGTTCACCAAAAGTGGTTCAGATGGTCTCATGACTAAACTTCAGTGGTTCACATGATCCCATTAAGGCATGTGAAATCTCCAAAAAATAAATGAGCAAGCTTTAGGATCCCAGACATATACCCTAATTAAAGCTATGCAAGCTGAATGAACCATTTCTTCATATTACTAAGACATTTTAGCAAGAAAATGTTTGCAGTGGAAAGGTCTATTGTCTCAGAAGAGCTCATACAAGGATGGGAAATAAACACTCCTTAAGGGTTTGGGTTATAGCTTACTATTTTATTATTTTATACAGTACTTTGCCACTAACAAAGGGCTTTTACATATCTGACTTTTTAAAAAATTAATAAACCTCTGTGAGGTAAATATAACCTTCCTATTTTATAGATAAGAAAATAAGAATTCATAGATGTCAAATGAGATGCCCAAGCTTACACAGCTGGAAATTAGTTCACAGACCACAAAACCCTGGTCATTGCAATTTCAATTATTTTTTTAAAGTTTGGAAAATAAAGGGAAAAACTAAAATTTTCATTGATTCCAAGTCATTTTGCATATTCTCTTCTTCCTTCTATCCATGGATTGTGATTACTGGAATATCTTATTTTTTTCACTTCACACTGTATCACACGCATTTACCATGACCACCTAACCTCTATGCAGTTCATTTACTGACTATATAGTATTATGACACATAAATTATCTAAGTCAAAATAACACTATGGGTGAGGAGGTACTCTATAAAAATGAAAGATGAATAAGAAAAAGACCATTACTTAATGCATACCATTATTGGCCAGCCAGGTTTTTTATTATTACTTTTGTTGGTCATTTGTTTTTGCTATTACAGGTGAGACTAAGGTAAGAAGTCCTTTCTCTACAGCACAGGTGCTGAATGAAGAGCAAGCTTTCCCTCCCGAAGCTCCTCCCCTTCACAATGTTTGTGAATTACTGTCTGTTCATTTAAATCTGCACTCCCCTCCTTTCTCTAGTTAAAAATTGAGAGGTAAAATGTGTGCGGACAGAAATGTGTAGCTTCATATTTTTTCCCTATTACTTGCAACGATTGTTTTTCACAGAACAAGTGTACCCCTTTGCAGAATAGTGAAAGCTTTCTTAGAAGCAGTGGATAAATTCAACTGATATTAAGCAAGAAAGCAAAACGGTCTATGCGTCATTTTAGCTGGCTCTCAAAGGACCAGTTAGTCTTTTGCTTTTCTTAAAACCCAACCAAGCTATAGCGACATGGCACAGACTAAAAGGCTGATCTGGAAGTTGATTAATTTCTCTGGAAAAGCATCATTCCTCCATTTCAATCCGCGCCGTTGACAACACAGCCTAAATCCAATTTTAAATGAATGCAAACACAGCCACTCTCTAGGCCAAACTCTGGAAAAACACCTTAAGAATTCCAAGTGGAAGTCTTTGTAGATCCTGAGAGGCCTATATGTTGCTCCTAATTTAGAGAAGTGTCAAGATATGTTTCTCCAAGGGCCAAGAAAGGAGGATTATGCAACTTAATGAGATGATGCCATATGAAACCCCGAGTGATGGCTCTCTGGGCTTTCAGCAATTCCCAGTAAATGTTCTCATCCCTTTGGATCCCGTGCCCTAGCTAACGGCATCTCCGGATTGGAATGCACATTGGAGGCCTTCTAGCCCAAACAGTCCTCAGTCACATCCTAATTCCACCGATAAGGCAGGCTCGGGGAGAGCACAGAAGCTTCCAGAGACAGTACGGTGCCAAAACATTTGGTTATCCCTTACCTCATTCCTGGAGCGTTTGGCCCAAACCTGTGTAGACACAGATCCCCGAGGGGAGCCCCGCATCCCCTCCACATGGCACTGTGACTTACCTGCGGAGGCCCGGGAGCGGCACTGCCCGGTCATGGGGCTGTACTCCTGGCTCTCGTCAGCACACACACACAGGAAGGAGCCTTCCACATTCTCACAAAAGGCTTCGCCGCACACGCCACTGAGCAGTTCACATTCGTTCACATCTGGAAGAGGGAACACAGATCAAGTCGGACACATGCCTCGCTTCTGACAGCTCTTCATTTTACCGGCTGTGCCAAGGCTAGCAGCAGCATTTGCTGAAGACACGGTGATGGCAGGGAGCAGCCAAACCCTGCTGCTCCCGAAGGCGGGGCGGCTGCACGATGTGGTTTGCAGGGAAGGTCAGGGGAAATGCAAAGCCAAGGTTCCAAATTTCAATTCTGCCTTTTAAGGGACAACCCAGAATTGTATGCCAGCACCCTATGCACCCTTGGATTCTTTCGTTTCCTCTTCCCTAACTTTTTCACAGGATGAAGTCTTAAGTAAGCCAGTTCTTAATTCAAGGAAAAGGATCCCCATTGGCATTTCAGAAATCATACACTTCTTTAAGTTCATTTTAAAAAATGGTTTTAAATCCACTTAAATGTCTGGAGCATAGTTCTCTAGCAGCCAAAATGTCCCTCGTTTAACAACCAGCATGCAGATTGTACAGAGACACCTGGAAATATTCAGTGGGCCACTTTCATCATTCACGTAAAACAAGTCCATTCAGTAACTTCTCACTGATTTCACAGTGCTTTTAAAAACTCTCTTGGTGTTCCACAGTGTAATTTCTGTTTTGCTAAATGTTTTTCTCTTGCACTTAAATTAAATATACATAATTAAAAGATAGTCAAGGAATCTACTGCTTATAATATGCAAGGGCACAGCTGTAAAGAAAGGCTAATTTTATGTTTGACTCTGCCCAATACTGCCACTCACTTTTACTCCTCCTAAGGAATTTTATTAATGAGTAGCCCGCTCAGCAAAGCACCTGACTTGATATCTGAAATGCTTTTGTGTTTTGAGCATTCAGCATGTACAATATCAGACTTCATGGGCACACTCGGAGACAGTTTACACAAAGTTAAAAATCTGATCGGCTACCCAAATCATTCAGAAAAAAATACCCTATTTTCACTGGCTAGGCTCAGTTAATTGAACAGAAAGTTTATGTATCTTGACTTATTTGAATGATTACTCAGTTTTCTATTTCACTTTGTATAGAAACAGATAAAAATCCAATGAGCTGGTTTTCCCTTGTCAAAAGATATTGTAACATAAAGTAAAGCAAAGAGGTGGTATATTTAATCAACCCAGACAGTCCTAATTTAGACCAGAAAAATTGACTTTAGAAATCTGCCAGTTCCCATTTGTCAAATTTTAGGTAAATGTCAACTGGAACGTTCTACTTTCTAACTGGTATTATTTACAGGGCTACCGAAATCTTTCCCATCAGGCTGTATTCACTCAATCAAAAAATATTTTCTAGTTTACTTCCTCAGGTACTGGGGAAGAAACCATGAGTCAAGTGGTCCAGCTCCTGCCTTCACCAAGCTTATGGTCGAGTCAGGGAAATTAATCAGATAATCAATCATATGGGCTGTGGTAAGTGCTAAGAACAGGAAGTACAGAGCATCATGAAAGCACAAGACAGCGGGCCTTAGAGCAGGGGTGGGTTAGGGAAATGACAGTGGAACTGAGCTCTGTCTGCAGGATGAGCAGGTGGTACCAAGAAGCGGTAGAGAGGGAGAGGGGAGGCAGTCAGGAGGAGCCCAGCAGAGGAAACAGCATGGCCAAAGGCTGGTATCCAGGCTGATTCATCCTAGTTTAAATCCTCCAGAACATCAGTGCGGTCAAGTGCACATGACAGGCACTCAGTGAGTATTTCTGAAGGAGTGAATAAACAGACAAGAGGACACCTGTTGAGTTCACTAAAATGATAGAAACTATTTCTTAAAGGGTGGCGTTTTGTGTGCCAAGCTGAAACTTCAACATGGGTTCAGTGAGCTCATCTGGCTGGTTAGAAACGGACACTCGCCAGGGGTTGTAAGAGCTGTGCAGAGTCAATGGTTCAGTATCTGATGTCTCAGAAACAGTTCAACAACATTTACTGAGCACCTACAAACAGGTATGGTCCAGCCAAGGGAGAGAGAAAGTTCTCAGTCACAGGGAGCTCGTTGCCTTGCAGGAGGTGGCTGTGGGCTGTACACATAATTGAGTTATTCCAAAAAAAGGGTGTAAATTCTGCAATAGAATTTGCTCAAGGTATTCTGGAAGCAGGAGGAGGGTAACGGCTCAGTTTGAGAGTGAGAGAAGGAAGAGAAACAGTGTCTGGGAGGAGATGACGTCTAGCCTCTGGCTTTAGCAATGAGTGGGGTGAGTCCAGGCTGTGGGAGGGGAAGCTGGGAGGACATTCCCAGCAGAGGGAGCAAACAACAGCCAAGTCACTGCACAGTCACACAAGCAACTGCAAGCAGCTGTATGTCCCTGGAATGCAAAAGGTGAGCAAAGACAGGGTGAGGCTGAGAAGGCAAGCGGGGGGTCAGATCACATGACCTATTTAGTCAAAATATTTCATGAATGTCAGATAACTTTCATCGCTTGTATTTTAGTGCAAAGGAGACTAAAGCGGTCACTGGAAGTAGCAATTATGATAATGTTACCTTAAAAGTGGTTGCTGTTTTAACTAATTTTATCATTAAACTTCCAAACACCTAGATTTTGTTTTCCCAGTTTGATCTGAATGAAAAATGAATTAATGCTTTTACTGCAAATTTCCGAACTACAAAGTTACTGGCCCCTCCTCAAGCAAGTGCCATTTACCACAAAGAGTTATGTTCCTTAATTAAGAATAAAGAAAAAGCCTTGCTATAGGTGAAGTTTTAAATTTAAGAGCCATTCTTCTCTTTCCCACTTAATTGCTCTAAACTGCAAATGTGTGTCATAATGCATTTGAATGAAACAAATCACAGCTGCTCAGACAATGAGATGCTGCACCTCTTCTTCTGCATGGTCATGCGCTGCACAATATATCAGGACACCTGACGAAATTCAAGACACCTTCGCCCTGTCAATCCTGGAAGAGCAAAGAAATACGGTGGCACGACCCAAAGCATTGCTTTACAGCTGTCACTCCTGGAAACTGGAAGTCTTGCTAACACCTTTCCTTAAAGGCACTGCCCGAGGTGGTGCAGGGAGAAGACAGACAAGCTGTCCCCCTACACTGCACTCTGTCTCCTGTGCGGGAGAGACAGGAGAGTTCTGCACACTCAGCTAAGGGTTTAAACAGGTGTGTCATTGAACATTCATTTACATTCAAAGTTACATACTTCTATATTTCTGAATGTCCCCAACCATTTCAGGAGCCACGGGACATTTGTGCATAGCCCCAAATTGTGTGACAAAAGCAAACTGTGATGAAATTCTGCCCAAATGACCGTGCTTGCACTCTCTCCTGTGGTTGATCACTTTGATTTCCTTTCCAAGCGGAGCGAGATATGACATGTGTTGGGGAAAAAGAAATCTAAAAACTCACCCACACACCCTTGCCCATCCTGTGGGGCCTGAAAGCCCTGATAACACAGGCAGCGGAAGGAGCCGGCCGTATTGTCACAAAACCCGTGACTGTCACAAATAGTGTTGTTTACACACTCATCAATATCTGCAAAAAAGACACAAAACACAGACCGACAAACACCAGGTATTAATGGAGAAACAGGCTGTCAACACACCCCGATTAGTACGAGATGACCATGTTTACACAGGATGAACTTTAAAAACATTTTACACGGAAATAAAATGTTTTGATGAAAATGTCTTAAGAGACAAAACACTGGGTTGTATGACAAAACATTTACTTTTTCTCAGGAAATGGTTTCAAACAGAAACAACCACTGTTAATGACCATGGTCAGTATTTTCTCTATGTTTTTGACTCTTTATTTCAAGGGAGATTACCATGTATTCCTACAGAGCTCCTATGTGGAGGCATTGTCACATGTTATGATTGTGGTAAATACTAACAGTTCTATTCGAAGAGTTAGGGGCTGCAAGACGCACTTGCCTGCTTGGGCAGTGGTTACTCAGCTCCAAGATGACCTCGATCAAGTCTAACCAGAATTCCCATGAAGGGGAAGGGAACGAGGAGGAGGTAGGGAGGAGGGGGAGAGGAGGGGGAGAAAGGAGAGGAGAAAGAGGCAGGAAGAAAGGGGAAGAGAGAGTGGGAAGGGAGAGGGAAGGAAGGGAGGAGGAAGAGGGGAAGGAGAAGGGAGGGAGAAAGGAGGAGGAGGAGGGAGAGGGAACGTGGGGAGGAAGGAGGAGAAAGACAGGGGAGAGGGAGTGGGAAGGGACAGAGACTCTGATGAGTTCAGCTGTGTAGCTGGCCAGCCAGTCCCAGTTATTCACGAGGAAAGATTTCCTGTCACCAAGTTACAGCCACTCAGGATCTTCAAGGTCAATGCTGCTCCAGCTGATTAGTCAGCGGCCAACCTGGTAAATTCATTTTGCTCTCTATAAACCTGATGATAGACAGTGGTCCTGGGCCTTTTCCCCACCATTAATAAAAAATGTTCTCATAAAAGTGATCTCATTTATAGAGTCACAAAAGCATTTTCAGATAGGGTTCTCTTTACCCTTGGTTATTAATTTTCCTTGATGTTCTTTCATTCCCATCTCCGTTCTGTTTTCTGCACGCTTCCATTGGCCAGGCTCTCTGTCCCGCCCACTCTGGGCTTCCCAGCCCCCAGATATGGGTTTTGGGAGAAAACAAGAAAATGCAATTACTGTATCTAAATACATCTGAAGAAGACAGTGCTTTTGGGTTCAAATAATGAGACAAGAATTACAAATGATAAAGAAAATGACAAGTCAAATTGCACTTGACAGAATTTAGTTTTGGAGAGTTCATGTTAATAAAGTCAAGCTTTTCTCATTTGAAAATTTTTAAAGCCGAGTCCAAGAAATTTTGTAAAAGAAGATATATTCAACGATTTTTGGCAAGTGCCTCACTTCCCTTCCTCATGTTCCAACACAGACAACAGACAGTCCAGAGACTGTCTCCCTTTTGCAGTTGCAAAATGTGAGTGCCTGCATCTAAGCTTTCTTAGTTTTCTCAACCCGAAGAAGAAAACTTCCAAGGCTGGGCCCTTTCTCCCAAGCCCACCAGTCTGTTCTCCCTCAAGCCTGCCCTGCTAGCATCTTCAACTATGCCCCCTTCTCCCCACTCCATCCCCAGCTCCTTCCTCACTGCCTTCAAAAATGTTAAAGAAGTTCTTGGAGCAGCTGTCACTTGACCATGATGTCACCTACTGTGCTTTTCCATTCTTTCTGTCACTACAAAATGTCTCAAAACAACTGTCTATACTCACTGCCTTTATTTCCCAATGTATCTTATCAGTATAAGGAAATAATTGCAGCAATACTAATATTAGTAACTAATAATACTAGTGTATTTCTAGAGTTACTGTGATGATTAAACAAAATAACATGCATAAAATGTTATTTTAAGAACACTGCCTGGCATGTAACGGAGGAAGCATCCAATGCATGTCAACTATTACTATTACTCCTCGTACTCCTTCCTGACTCTCCCCCTCTCAAAACCCCTCTGAGAAAAGCCACCGGTGACTGACCCATCATTAAATCCCCAGCTCATTTGCCAATTAGTCACTATCACCCTTGACCTCTAAGTCTGGTCAACACCCCCTCCTAGAAATCTCTCTTTTCATAACCAGAGACAGACCCTTATCTCATTCTACCTATAACCACTACTTGGCCCTCACCTTTTACCACCTGAAGGAAGGGGACTCAGGCACACTCTGGGAGCAGCGACATCCTCAGAGCTCCCCTCTCCACCCTGTCCACACTCTCCCAACTGCAACTACCACGGTCCTCGGAATGAATCCCAAGTCTTCCTCTCCAGCCAGGATCCTTTGTGTTCTGTGCCACACACCATTGGATCTGTTGTGACGTCAAACTTAGCAAGTGTGAAACCTCCTAAACCGCATTTCCTGAACTTAGTGAGAAATCTCTCACCTCTTATTCTTCCTTTTTTTCCCCTTTTGCCTCTACAGCTGACCTCCCCAACCTGAATGGAAAGCCCCATGATATTATTTTACATCTAAAAAAAAAATGAAATCTCCCTTGCAGCACTGAACACAAAGAAGACGCTCCAGAAATCTGTCCTGATGGATGTGCACTGTCAGCGTAAGGCTGGGATTACAACTTATCTGCTGATCCCAACCACGAGAGGAGTAACCACACCGTGTCATCGAATCACTTCACACAGACCGCTGCTAATTTTAGTCTCCCCGAACGGACGTTGGTCAAGAGCTCACATTATTCATTGAACCACTGGATCTAAGGGCTGGAAAGAGATTCGGAAATGCTTGCATTACCACTTTTAGACTGATTTCCCAGTCTTTCTCAAGGGTCAGCCTCTGTCCTTGAGAACCACTTACCTACTACCGACCGGACATGTTTGTAATAAATTGAACTTATTATCACTCCCTGCCTCACATCTCCTCCATCTCGCCTATAATCCCTCCGTCAGAGACTCCAACCAGTCACCCAGGCCAGAAATCTGAGCCATCCTTCTCTCGCTCCTCCTCCCCACCCCTCCCCCATCGTACCCATTGATCTAACATTCCTGAAACTCGTACTCCTGATTGGCTTCCTTATCTCCAGCCTTGCTGCCCTCTCTCCCATCCTTTCTCCACCAAACTGCAGCCCTGTCAGTACTCTCCCTTGCTCAGAATGTTCAGTATCCTTCTGGGCTAGAGGATTCCAAGCGCTCTCCTTAGCAGAGCACAGAGCGCCTTTCGTCGTCTGGCTTCTGGCCGCAGGTCTGGCCACCGCGCCCAGCCAACCTCCTTCCAGGTAAATACTCATCCCCACCAGCGTATCAGAGTTCTTTGAAAACACCATGTTTTTTAGGTCATTTCTCCGTGACTTGGTGCACACCCCTTCCTCCACTACAAATCTCCCTCCACCTGCTTTGTTCGGAAACTCCTGGCTTTGCAGGAGACGATCCAAGGGGTCCTTCCTACGTGGCACCCTCTGTAGCTACTCCAAGAGCAGATTTCAGGGCCCCTCCTCTCTGCTCCCAGAGCATTTTGTGCCATTACTGTGCTTATCCGTTGTTTTGGGGGTGGGGGCTCTCTGGCTGAGCCTCCCCAGCACCTTATTTCTCTACTAAAAGGGACAGTGAATAGCAAAGAAGAAGTGCTAGAAGAAATCTGGTGGCTTTTCAGACCAGATCCCTGACACAAAGTCTCTTGCTTCCCTTTTTGGTAATTCTATGCCATTACAGCAGACGAAGCTTCCTTGTTAATGACTGCCAGCTCATCGACTGAGGAACTGACCGTGTGGTGAATGAGTCCTGAGATGGCTGTTAATTACCGGGCATCTCGCAGTCTCAGACCTACTGTGACAGTGATTGACAGAGAAAGTTTAGATGAGCAACATTTTTAATTTGAACAAATAGGAAAAAACAACCTGGAATGCCCGCTGGAGACTGGCTCTTCAACAACTAGTATTTTATAAAAATGATAGACTGTAATGCTCAGCAGTTTCATGCTTTCAACAATGAGATAAGGTAACAGCTTTAATAAGAAGATGTTTGTTTCGCTTCTCTGACTAATGGTCTGTATTTTAGAAAAACCATTATTCTGTTAGATTTTTTTTTCAGGTGAGCTCTCTGAGATATTTTTCCCTTGTTCATTCTGTATGTAAAGCAACTTACAGAACTGCTACAATTAAGATGAACTCTATCAAAATAAAAGCAAATGTTAAAAAAAATTATGATTATATAATAATAAAAGCCCTGTCAAGATGCAAGCTTCATAAAGGGACAAGTGAGACCCATCCTGTTTTATGCTGAAGTTGGGTTTTGAAGATGAAACTAAATTTCAAACGCTGCCGCGGCACCTGTGAGAACCCTCCCTGGCGTCGTCACCCGTGCACGGCTCTTGCTTGGTCAGCACCCCAAGCGAATCAGGTAGGTATATTGCTGCAAGAATTGTTGATTTCTCATGCAATTTTTGGCTATCAATATTTTACTAAATATAACTCGTTTTTACTAAAACTTACTAAGCGTTATCAGCGGTTCTCTCCAGAAAGCAGACCTCCAAACCTACACCGTCAATTCTGAAAGATTGAAGGCCAGAGACTCGCTACCACCCTCTTGCTTCAGGAAGGTGAACTACGAAGAAAAGTGAAAGCAGGAACAGGAGGCATGCCTGTGTAAAAGGCTCTGGGGTCGGGTAAACCTTAGTTACTCACGAAAAAATCACAACTGTGACATCAACAATGAAATTCATGACAACACCTCAGTAATTCCATTAGGTTTTCTGTATTATACAGAAAAGTATGTGCATGGGGAAAATGGCATGTTTGTGTACTTTTTTTTCAGTTAAATAATTTACTTTTCCTTCTCTCAAATATACTCTTCAGTTTGTTTTAAGAAAAGAAGTGCTTCTTTCTCATACTTTCTTCACATGTCCTATCTTTGTTGATTTTTTTCTTTATTCTGAGCAAGACATATCGACCTGTTGGAGGAAGCAGCTCACTGACGAGCCCTCTGTGTGTTCCCGGGGCACTTTAGAGAGGGGGGTGATGGAACAGAGGCCCACTGTTAGTAATGGATCATTCACAGAAAAACCTT